GTAGTAGTAGTAGTAGTAGTAGTAGTAGTAGTAGTAGTAGTAGTAGTAGTAGTATTAGTATTAGTATTAGTATTAGTATTGGTAGTAGTAGTAGTAGTAGTAGTAGTAGTAGTAGGACTCTTCAGCAGACATACATACCCCCCCAAAAAAGGAAATTGACGGTCCGTGTTGACCATGCATGCTTTTGCAGGCGCAGTTCCATGTAAGCAGGAAAAAGCCGCACCCACAGGGCTAACATAGCATGCGAACACGTTTCAGGATGCCTACCCAGGATTCCATGTTAGTGGGTTTTGTGCCTGGCAGGTTCCATGTTAATGTAGTTATAGTTTGTGATGTGTTGTGATGTGTATTGCACGCTCCAAGCTCCCTCGCTCCAAACTCCTGGTCCTCCACCTCAAAACCCGCGATTTCCACCTCCGAGCGCTTGTGGTCCAAAGTTGGCTACCCAGTATTCACACTGGGCGAACCAAAGCAGCCAAACCAACACTTGAACATTTTGTATAAAAAACCCTAAGTAAACTGCTCCCAGAAATGCTTTTTTTTGCCTCGGAAAGGGATCTCCCCACAAATAGCTTCCATCCTTCAAGACAAGCTACAATGAGGCAGAGTACTCACCAGAAATGTAACCTTGTGTTCTATGTTAACGGCTGTGTGTGATTTGGTCGGTACGGTAATGGTACAATAATGGCACGCCCTTCTTCCGGTACAGTGCTTGTGGTCCAAAGTTGGCTACGCTAGTATTTACACTGGGTGAACCAAAGCAGCCAAACCAACACTTGAACATTTTGTATGAAATCTTTTACTACACTGCCCCAAGAAATGACTTTTTTGCCTCGGAAAGGGATCTCCCCACATATAGCTTCCATCCTTCAAGATAAGCTACAATGAGGTAGAGTACTCACCAGAAATGTCACCCCATGTTCTATGTTAACGGCTGTGTGTGATTCTGTCGTTATGGTAATGAGACAGTATTGGCTGCCCTTCTTACAGTACAGCACTTGTCGTCCAAAGTTGGCTACCTAGTATTCACACTGGGTGAACCAAAACAGCCAAACCAACACTTGAACATTTTGTGTAAAATCGTTTACTAAACTGCCACCAGAAATGACTTTTTTTGGCCTCGGAAAGAGGTCCTCACACAAATGGCTTCCATCCTTCAAGATACAATACAGTAAGCTGCACTGAGGTAGAGAAATGTCGCCCCGTGCTCTATGTTAACGCTGCGTGATTGATTCTGTCAGTACAGTAGCACGGTGCAGACCATACTGTAGTCCAAAGGCTACAGTACCGCGTGAACGTGAACAAACACAGCAAAGCCAACAAGTGGAAGCACTTCTCGCACAAATGTCACATAATACCTGTTCTCACCCTTTTTGAAGGGAGGGAGGATGTGTGGACCGAGGGAACCGAGACTAACATAGAACTTCACTAGGACAGAGTAACCGAGACTAACATAGAACTTCGATACTGAGGAGCTGTTTTGGACCCTTTTTCTATGTTAAGCGACTTGGGGGCTTGTCCGTGTTCCGTGTTAATGTACATTTTTTTTGATTTGGATCTATGTTTGTTTGCTAAAGTGTAGTATTAGTAGAAGTAGTAGTAGTAGTAGTAGTAGTCGTAGTCGTAGCCGTAGTCGTAGTAGTTGTAACTACTACCTACTACCTACTACCTACTAACTACTAACTACTAACTACTATATAACTACTTACTACTTACTACTAACTAATTACTACTTACTACCTACTACTTACTACTTACTACTTACTAACTACGAACTACTAACTACCAACTACTAACTACTAACTACTTACTAACTACGAACTACTAACTACCAACTACTAACTACTACTACTACTACTGCTGCTGCTGCTGCTCCTACTACTACTACTACTACTACTACTACTACTACTACTACTACTACTCCTCGTGTGCTAGTCTACTAGTACTGCTTCTACTACTGTTGCTGCTGCTGGTGCTGGTGCTGCAGCTACTACTACCACCACCACCACCAAAAATGCGGGAGTTCCGCAGTGAACGTTTTTCTCCAAGCCGTGTGGCCATGCTAGGCGTTTTTTTGTTAAGGGTTATGGCTGGGCTTCATTTAGAAAGCTGTCGGGCGGTGGAGGCTAATTCGCTGCTACTTACGGGAAACCATGATCCTGTAACTAAGAAAGCCATCAGGTCCAATGCTCGAGAGGTCAGGCAGCAGCAAGTCCTCATAGGTGAAGAACGAACTGGAAGCTCATGGTGTTGTCAATTCTGCGAAGCCAGATTAATTGGGAAATCAGACTGGCAGTTCGCCTTAGTTCCCTCATGCCATATTGCCAGCACCTTCTTCCAGTCGCTGACTGACTCCTTGACACAGGAAACACTGGGAGATTATGCAAATATTTATTCTTGTTGGCCATGTGCCTGTGAGCAATTGTTTTATTTTCATTGGTGTGTGTGTGTGTGTGGGGTAGATGTGGAACATTTGAGAACATTGAAAACCAAGCGGGGGCCACCCACCTAGTTTTTCAATTTTGAGGGGGTCGCATAAAGGGCTCTTACTTGTGTTAGAACCAGGCCTTGATCGCAATTTTTTTGCCTGGCACTCTGGAGCACTTCCCTGGTTGCAACTTTGAGCCTAGAACCGTGGAACGCTGAAGTCTTTGAACCTTAAGACACCGGAGCCAGACTCTGATTGCACCTTCTGGAACCGGGTTTGGCTCTGAAACCAGGCCTTGATCGCAACCGTCTTTGCATTCTGAGCCCATCCCCTGATCCCATCACATTGGATTGTACACATAAGTATCCCTCCTGAATTATTTTTTGCAACATGCTATCCGGGGCCTATGCCGGTGTAACGTTCCCAGCGCTTGCTTTTGCATATGTTTTTCCAGTCGAAGCGCATCTTGAGGTACTTCTTCCTTGTGCCAGCTGTGCGGCTGAGTTGTCCTATCTCCAATTCTCAGACCTCTTCACATAACCGGCGGCCCGGCAATCAGAGACTCGTTGCTCATGTTCATTCCTGCCGTGGTTGTTGCTATAGTGATAGTTTGTTAATTAGTATGTTTTGCGACTGCAAAATACACAGACTCATTTTTTTAAAATATGATCGCACGGAATCCCCATGCTGAAGTCACCTCACCTTGAACATTTGAGAGTTGAGGCATCGCAGCTGATTTGGACTCGACTTGCGAGGCAGGGGCCAGTCGTTTACTGGGGAATCAAAGAAAGACCGCGTTCAATCCGCCCACGAGCTACGAAGCCACTGTCAGTTCTGCGAAACCTGTGGTGCTGGTTTCATAAGGCAGCTCATCACTGCGATGATACGGTCGTGTTTGAGGTGTCCATAGTGACAAGCTGGTCTCCTTCATAGCTTGCTGTTCGAACTCCCGAGCCGGGGACCCATCTGCTACGACTCGGCGTGAGGCCCTCAGACCAAAACGACTTCTGGGATGTGCCCGACGCATCCCATGTGGATTTCAGAACCCGACCCAATCTGTTTGGGAAGTTAGAAGCACAGCGTGCCCATGCAATCCTTTGGCGCAATTGCTTTGAAATCCCATTTGCTCGAAGGAAGCGCAGAACTGCTCCCAGGGGCTCTAGTCTCTAGTTGTGAAGCTTTGCCCAGACACCTTGGCACAGCCCAGGGATGCAAAGGATGAAACGGCGCTGTTGGAATTTGTGGCTCTATCATGCTCTGGCAGACTGGCAAGGAGTGGGATTCAATGTTTACTGTCTCCAGGTGCTGTGACTGAGCCAAGCTTTGCGAGAGCTCATTTTGCGCCTTTTTATGGTGCCAGTACCAGCTGACCAGCTGTTTTTTACACGGTGAGCTGCATGCTCAAGGGTACATCCAACACCCAGTATATTTGTAGATTTGTTGATCTTCAGCTCTTGCTGGCTCCTTCTCCATGTGGATCAAGCTATCAGTTCTTGAGTGGATCTAGATCGTTCTCAGTGGTCCATCTAATTCTTTGAGCTGCGCCAGCCCAAGAAGTTCAATCGATTCAGACCCTGAGACCAAACCTACTGCAAACTTCTTGGAATAACCTACTGGGCCTGGTGCGTGGCAAGCGTTGGATATGCTCAAAGCACATGACATCAAAAGAGATGAGAGCGGAGAACTTGTGAGACTTTATATTTTTGATCCTGTGCAGGTTTGATGGACACTATGGTTCAACCTGGTTCAACTTATCTAAATTACTTTGGCCTTTACAAACTCTGGTCATCCTGGGCAACCAATTTTCGGGTCTTGCCTTGCTGCGAGCTGTGTCTCCCGCAGCTCTGGGCATCCCATTGTTC